GCCCGGCTCGGCATAACACCCCGAACTGTGCTGAGAGGAGACTTTGCAAGGGCCGCGGGCAGCTCTGACATCCCCGTGATGGGCTCCCGCCCCTGCTCTTGGGTTCTGCCCGCTTGGGGTTCCCTGGATCCTGGCACTGCGTGGGGCCCGTCACGCGTCCCGCCTCAGCAGAGCGGAACATGTAACCTGTCGGCTGAACTTAGAAAAGCTCTAGTGGCCCAGCGTCAGGGATGAGGTGCCTGGCACTGGGGCATCTGGATGCAGGAGCACACCAACTCTGGAGAGACTGGCTGCCTGCTAGCTCTGTCGATGCAGTTCAAAAATAGCAGAGGCACTTTTTTTTGGTATAGTAATAGTTGGGTGCACATAGGGGAAAAGTACTAAAATGTTCTGCCTGGAGTGTGGTAAGTTAATTCCTGTTGTTTTGTCCTCCAGGTTGGCCATAAGCAAAAGGTGGAGCTGGTCCCTAACAAAGTCCATTTCATGAAAACTCTCAGCTTGAAACCACTTCTCTTTGGTAAGACCCACTGCACTGCTCAAAGCCTGCTGACAGGACAACTGGAATCCTGTTGGTATTTTAAGCCAAGCTGCAATGTGGGTATATTTGTGGTCATTATGGGCCCCAAGCCTATAATTTGAGAGCTCCGGAGTTACAATAATGAATAATCTGATTGATAAAATTAAAGACAAGAACCTTCTATAATAATAACCATGAAACTGGTGTTTTGAGTCCCCGAAAATGGTTTTGTTTTTTGGGAAGTGGTAGCTTCAGAAGGAATATTGTGGTGGCTTGTTGGTGAGAACCATTGACCGTGGTACAATGTTTTGTGGTTTTCATTGGGTGTGACTGGGGCTCTACCAAATTCACAGTCCATTTTGGTCAATTTCTCAGTCACAGGATTTGGAAAATCATAAATTTCATTATTACAGATATTTAAAATCTGTAATTTTACACTGTTTTAGTTGTAGGTGTCGTACCGAAAAAGGAGTTGTGGGGACGATAGCAAGGTGGTTGTAGCATGTGGCACTCCTGCCTTTGCTTCTGCATTGCTGCTGCTCCTGGTGGCCCACAGTGGCTGTTGGCCGTGAGCCTAGGTCTGAAGACAGAGCTGCCACCAGCAGACACAATGCCTAAAATAATCTTGCAAGCCTTGTGCAGCTCCTTTTTGGGTCAGGACTGCCAACTGGAGAAACTCTGGTCTCCCTATGAAATCTGTATGACATAGGGTAAAAGCCCACAAAAGACTAGACTTCATGGGGAGAGACCAGATGTGAGGGTCTAAGCAGATGGTGATGTCTGGGGGGTTTGAGGGGGCATGTGCCCCGTAAATGCCATTGGCAGGAGGGGAAAGGGATTAGCCAGCAGTTGGCCAGGGCCAGGGTCCCCAGGCATCTGAGGGAAGTAATGGAGAAGAGCCTTGCACGCTCACCATTATTGGCAGGGGAAGCAGAGCAACATAGCCTCGGCTTGCCCTGCTCTCTCAGCCATGTTGCTGGGGGTGGGGAGAAGATGGGGGGGGGAGCAGCGCAAGCTGGGGAGAGGCAAGGCTCATTCATGTCACTCTGCGTCCTGCTGCCTCTTCCCTCTCCCAACTTGAGCCCTTGCTGCTTCCCCTCGCCATTTGGAGTTGCTATTTTAAACCAAGCCCCTACTCCCCTTCCTCCATCCCCACCCCACAGGGCTTTCAATGCTAGAAACATGGTCCAGTAGCCGCCAGACCCCACATCGCAGCTGTGAGAGCCCTGGGGCGGGGAGGAGGGTATGGTGCTCGGGACAGCAGCCTGCAGACAGGCGCTAGGACCGGAACTCCCGGCTGGGCTTATGTGCCAGCAGTGGGCTCTTGGGGGCTCCCCTGCTGTCAGGTTCTTGGGGAGCAGAAGCACGGTGCCTGATCACTCAGAATCCAGCTGTGCCTGTGAAGAGTCACGTCACCCCTCCCCCCACAGCGGCTACAGTCACCACAGCTGCCGGAGCACCCCCGAGCCACCCAGGGAGCTGCCGCACCGACCTGTCTGCTCCTTCCCTTCTGCTCCTGGTGGGTGGATGGGGGGGCCCTGGCTCTGTGGGCAGGGCTGGGGTGGTGAGCAGCGCAGGCGGGACCACACGGAAGATGTCAGGACAGCGGCCCCCACGCTATTGCTTTCACTACCTCGGCAGGCTGCAGTTTCCCAGAGTGCCGCATTCACATGACACTACCTGCACCTCGCAGTGCCCACAAGGGGCAGGCAGACACCCCTGCGCCTCCCCTGCTGCAGAGGCTAGAACCCGGCCTGCCGCACGCTGCAGTCAGAAGGAGATTGGGAGAGGGGTCCTTGCCGCAGTTCAAAAGCGGAAGCCCCGCAGGGAGTGCAGGGTCAGTGGGAAACTCCCACTGGCCCCATGCTCCCTGCAGTGCCTCAGCCTTTGAAATGTACAAGGGCCCCAGCTGGGCTCTTGTACATTTCCAAAGCAGAATCACTGCCGAAGTGGCGTGAGTGGAGACGGCTTCGGTCCCCGCTCGCGCCGCTTCCCACTGTGCCTCTACCTCCGCTGCCTTCCGTGGAGTCCCATCACTAGTCGATTCTCTAAGGTTATGCTTATCGGATAGTCAACTAGTGGCTTACAGCCCCCAGTATATATAAACGTGAGGGCTTCTGTATCCCATGTAGCCCTGTTAGCAGCCCAGTGGTGTCTTCACTGGGCTTGCCACTGCTGAGGCTTCCTCATGGTTGCTATGCCAGTGCTCTTCCTAAGAGTCGGGAACTGGTGCAGATAGGCACGGCTATTTGAGTCACCACTTCAGCTGCTGTCCAGTAAAAACAGGCCACTGTGAATTTTGAAGATTGCCAAAGGCAGGTTAGCACCTGGATTTCTGCCAGCCTGCTTTGATTGTATCTCCAGAGCTGTCCTTCCATAGCACAGTTTGGGGCAATGCCCAGGCCTCATGTTTTGGGGAAGCCCCATGGTGGCTGCTTCAACCGTCCTATGAATGGGACCAGTAGGAAAAGTTGGGAGCAATGTTCCCTCGAAGATTTTCCATTTATGAGCAGAGTGAATTTTGTCTTGTGTACCAATATTGAGGTCCTGTGCGCTTGTTTGGATGTGTGGCACCCACCAGTGGTGCTGCTCCCCGAGAAACTCTCCCAGCACCAAGACCCAGCCCAGTCTCCCTTTGCTAGGACCCTGAGCCCTGCTCCCAGACATCCCCCTCCCATCTCGTGGGGAGGTGAGACCTGCCCCCCCCCCCCCCCCCCCGAGGACCTACGCCCGGTCGCCCCGGGCG